AGCGGCAATGCGGTACAGTGTCAAAGGCTTTAGAAAAGTCGATGAACAAAACATCCACCGCCTGTCCTTGGTCCACAGCCTCAGCCCAGCACTCTCGGGCTACCAACATGTTAGTCAAACAGGAGTGGCCTCTGCGGAAACCATGTTGAGACGGGTTGAGCAAGCTGAACTTAGCCAAGTGCTTCTCCATTGCATTTCTTACAAGTTTCTCAAATTCTTTCACTAGTACGTTTGTTAAGCTAACCGGTCTATACTTCACAGGTAGGTGCTTACCAGCCTTATTGAAAATAGCGCACACGATAGCATCTCTCCAGTCAGTAGGTATTGAGCAGCTACGGAGGGACTTCTCAAAGAGACATTTAATCCGTTTACACATGAACCCGGCACGCTAGTACAAACGTTTGGGATGGAGGGCATCTATCCCCGGCAGCTTTTGTGGGATTTAGGTCCACGCAGGAGCTTGAGTACCTGAGCTTTCCGAGATGGAAAGGTCCCATCAGAAAGGAGGCCTAAGGGTATCTTTGCTTGCAATTGGATATTAGGCAATGGAGATTCATGAACAAACGACCTAGCATACTTGTTCTGCAAGTACAGCAGGCCTTGGCCCTGATCGGTTTGATACTTCCAGTGCCGTCAGGTCCAAAGAGCACAGGGATAGGCGGATTTGCCATTGCATCTCCGTTTGACATAGCCCAAAGAACCGTTTCGGGTTTGTTGATGCATGATCGAGCTAGCGCTAGTTCATATCTCAAGCGTGCCGGCCCCGCAATGTTGTTTACATGCATTTCGCACCGCTTCGGTAGCGATGATGGGTACTTTCTGAGGGAGCTGATACCGTAAGTCCTCCAACACCCTGGATCGCCTACTGAGCATCCTGCGCGCCTCAGAGTCAAACCAAGGGGGCTTTGCCCTACTTTATTCCTCGCTGAGATGGAATGTGGGGGCGGGAACTCACGCAAGAAGGATTTGAACTTGTCTAAAGCCTCCCTAAGAGAGGATGTTGGGTGTCTAATTATGGAAGATGGCAGCCAGGCTGTGGAAGTCAGAGATAAAGCTGAAATGCTGCTAAGAGTCTTTCAGAATCTGCATAGGAGCGACAATGGATGTGCTGCACCATCGCAGCCACACTGTGTCAGCAGTTATATAATGCAGGACATCGTGCTGACTGCGCAAGAGGTCTTTACTGTGATGACTAACTTGAATCCCTTCAAATCAGCCGGTCCTGACGATGTACATCCGGCAATAGTCAAGCCACTAGCTGACATCCTTCAACATCCTGTTCTGGAGCTGTTCAACTTGTCGCTCCAGGAATGCAAGTTGCCACGAGACTGGAAGGAAGCAGCCATAGTTGCGATTCACAAGGGTGGCTCCAAATCGGAGCCCCTTAACTACAGACCCATCAGTCTAACCTGTGTTTTGCTCAAGTGTTTAGAGAAGCTTATAAGAAACCGGATTTGTGAGCATTTGGCGGAACACAGTCTACTTAGAGCAGAGCAGCATGGTTTCATTAAAAAGAAGTCGTGCCTCACTAATCTACTGTGCTTCCTCGATGAGATTACTCGATGTCTTGACGACGGGATTCCGGTAGAGGTCTGCTATCTTGACTTTAGCAAGGCTTTCGACTCAGTAAATCACCGTTTCCTACTTAAAAAATTAGCATGGTTCGGAGTACATCCTAGACTTCTGTCTTGGATGTCAGAATTCTTATGTGGGTGAACGTTTCGAGTTAGAATCGGTGATGTTAGTTCTAGTGTGGGCGTGGCCCACAGTGTAGTACCCCAAGGATCGGTGCTAGGTCCACTTTTGTTTCTTATGTTTATAAACGACTTGGCTCCTTTTATTGAAGACCCCTGTTATATCTTTGCGGATGACTTGAAGCTAGTCAGCAGGGGCAACCGTGCAACACTGGCCAAGGATATCATCAGTGTGGTAAACTGGTCGAAGCAATGGGACTTGCCCTTGAATGCAAGCAAGTGCCAAATTCTGACCACTAGCAGAGACGTACTTGCAGTTCAGACTTCCTTTGGGCTCTTACCCTTACAATGCACTACCCAGGCACGCTACTTAGGAGTCATCATGACGAGCAGCTTCAAGCCTTCGATGCAATGTCGATACGCCACCAGCAAAAAGCGACGAGAATTGTTTAACCTCAGGAGGGCTCTGTGTAATACCAAGCCAGAAGTGTTCCTGCCACTATACAAAGCAGTGGTTAGGCCACACTTAGAGTATTGTGTTCAAGCTTGGTCGCCCTATCTCCGTGGTGATGTTCTTTGCCTGGAGAAGATTCAAAGACTAGCAACCAGGATGGTTGAAGGTCAACGGGGGAAGCCGTATGAAGATCGCCTAAAGAGCCTGGGGTTGTTTTCCCTTGAACGGCGTAGACTGAGAGGCGATCTTATAGAAACATTTAAGATCATGAAGGGCCTCAGTGCCATCGTGCCCTCTGATTTATTTGAGCTGGCTGATTCTGAACACTTGCGTGGACATCGCTTGAAGCTCAAACAGCAGAGGGCTAGACTGAACGTCAGGGCTAAGTTCTTCTCGAATCGTGTAGTGCGCAACTGGAATAAGTTGCCTTCGGAACTAATGGATTGTGAGACTGTGGTTGCCTTCAAAGCAGGCCTAGACAGGTGCTGGCCGCGTATTTTTCCGGAATTAATATAATCCTATCCAATTTATTCGCATTGATATCTGATGTCGATCCTTGTAAAAGCAAAGATTGCTCTCGCTTTTGCTTCATTTCTTTTTGCAGAGGCAAGGAGAGGCGATCAAAAGTCGAAGTGCCGGGGCTCTGGTTCGCTTACCGGTACAAGAAGCTGGACGCTCGTTAGGCGGAAGCCTGTATCGTCCACGGATTTTGACCTGACCTTACCTACCCGGTAACGCCTTTTTTTTGCGTTCATTGGTTCATTGGTTGGTACAAAATAGAAGGAAGATCCTTTGTCAGCTCCCTCACTTCCTGAACATTGCGGATTGCTGGTATCATTGCGGAACAAGGTTCCGCAGAAGCCCTCTATGGTTAGATCCGTATAGCTCACCCGGCCCTGATGGATTACATCCTTTGTTCCCCAGGACTCTGTCGGAGTATATAGCTTCACTCATATGTCAAATCTTTCGTCGCTCACTAGAAGCTGGCCGCCTTCCTTCAGCTTGGAAAGTGGGTATCCTCAAACCCAGTTACAAAGGAGAAAGTGGACATGATCCGGACAATTATCGTCCAATCTGTTTGACGTCAATAGTGTGTAAAGTTATGGAACGGGTCCTAAAACAAGCTGTTGCTCTTCATCTTGGGGACAGAATGTCATTTCTTATGCCCAGCATGGGTTCCGAAAAGCACGCTCCTGTACCTCCAACTTGCTCGTTGCTAAAGTGGCTTGGGAAAGGTCGCTAGACTCCGGCAAACGCTTGGACGTTGTATTTGTTGACTTCAGCAAAGCTTTTGACAAAGTCCTGCATAAACGGCTCCTGTTTAAGCTCCAAGGAATCGATATTTATGGGAACCTCCTGTCTTGAATCTCCAACTTCCTAAACGTCCTCTCTATGCAAGTGAAGGTGAATGACATTTTCTGCTCCTGTTCTCATGGCGATTGGGGTCTCACAGGGATCTGTCCTCGGTCCCGTACTTTTCAATGTCTTCATCAACGACTTACCATCCACTCTTCAGGCGGATTGCCTAATCTACGCTGACGACCTAAAGCTATGGACGGAAGTATCCAGCCTTGAAGACGCTGACAGATTACAAACTATGCTCGATCTACTCCATGACTGGTCGATTAAATGGCAGTTGCCCATAAATCGTGCTAAATGCTCTGTTCTCCCTCTTTGGCTCATCAAACCCATTTGGAACTTACCACATTGGTGGTTTCTTGCTCAAAAGCGCAACCAAAGAGAGGGACCTTGGAATGATAGTGTCATCAGACCTCAAATCTATTCAAGACACCCAGAAGAGAGTCGCTGCGGCCTACAGGATGTTCCACTCTATACGTAGTGAGTTTTCTCTCCTGACCCCGGGACTTTTCCGACTCCTCTTTGGCTCGCATGTACGCTCGATTCTTGAATACGGGCTACCCGCTGCCTACCCTCTCACCAAATCCGAATGTGATATGATAGAGAAGGTTCAACGGCGTGGATCCAAATCCGTCCCTGAGTTGCGAGACCTGTCGTATCCACACCGACTTCAACGGCTGAACTTGTTCTCTCTAGGTTGCCGCCGTCACCGAGGAGACTTGTTATTCACTCGACGTATTCTCAGAGGAGAACTGGGTTGCGAGTTACATGACTTCTTTGAACTCAACACTGAGAGTTCGACACGAGGCCACCGCATGAAACTGTTCAAACCGAGGAATCTCCGTGTGCGGTTCAATTTAGCCTGATAAACTCGCGTGGTGAATGATTGGAACCGGTTGCCGTATCCTGTTGTTGATGCTGAGACAGTGGAACGTTTCAAACAACTGTTAGATTCTCACCTGAGCGCGCTGGGATTCTGCTGCCTCTAAGACAGCTACAGTGGTGCACTGCGGAACCTTCTGCCGCAATGACCCACGCCATCTCCGCAATGATCGGGAAGTGAAGGAGCTGACAAAGGATCTTCTGCTCTCTATCATCCAATGATCCAATGTATTGTGGGCAACAGAATCCCTGCGCGATCAGAGTGGGAATCCAACAGTCGTTTGAAACTTTCCTCTGTCTCCGCGTCGACGACATCCGGCAAGCTGTTCCAGTCATTCACTACCCGGGTGGATAGGGCCATATCGGACCGCACACGGAGTCGCCGCGGTTTGAAAAGTTTCCTCGAGTTGCACACTTGTGTTGAGACGAAAGAACGATTGCATCTCACTCCTCAGCTCACCTCGTAGAATGCGCCGAATGAATATCATATATCCGTGGCGACGACGATAATCCAAAAGGAACAGTTTCAACCGTAGGGGGTAAGATAAGTCACACAACTCTGGAACAGATTTGGATCCACGCCGTTGAACTTTCTCGATCACGTCACGTTCAAACTTTGAGAGGATACGCAGCAGGCAATCCGTACTCGAGAACTGGGCGCACATGCGAAGCAAACAGTAATCTGGGATCAGGCGTGAAAAGGCTCTCCGTATAGCGCGAAGTAGTCTGTAGGCGGATGCGACCCTCTTCCGTGTGTTCTGCATTGATTTGAGATCAGGAGACACAATCAGCCCGAGATCCCTCTCTTGGTTGACATTTATGAGCAAGAAACCACCGATATGGTAAGCCCCAAAGGCTCAGGGGCACCGATTGGAAGGACAGCGCATTTGTCACGGTTAATGAGCAACTGCCACTTTAGTGACCAATAGTGGAGCAGATCGAGTGTCGCTTGAAATCTGTCTGCATCTTCCAGACTGAATACCTCAATCCACAGCTTCAGATCATCCGCTTAGCTTAAGCAATCGGTCTGCAGTTCGGATGGCGGGTTGTTGATAAAGAGATTGAAGAGTTCAGGGCCGAGCACAGAATCTTGGGGATGCCACTGGTCAAGAGAACTTGATCAGGAACCGCTTCGTTCACTTTAACCTGCATGAAGCGACCATCCAGGAAATCGGAGACCCAAACAAGAAAATTGCCAGTGACGCCGATTCACCGGAGTTTGAAGAGGAGCCGCTCATGCGGGACTTTGTCAAAAGCCTTACTGAAATCGACA